ACACAAATATATGGGTCCATACACTGTTACATGGGGTGACTTCTACAATAGTGCTGTCTAGAGGGCAGATTGGGATGTTACAGTTTTTTTGTAAGAGATAGCATGCTGTTACGTGCCTCCTGGAACAGGTTGGAGAGGAGGCTCTAATGTCCTGAATCACAGTGTCCTTTCTCATTGTCCTTAGGAGGCAGTAACCAGCTCTGGTTCTGTACTTGGTCCCTAGACAACTTATTGCACACTTAAGACTTGGCTATATGCTTGCAGTATTGCCTAACTACGTGAGCGGTCAACCCGCAGAGATCATTTCTGCATTGCCTTTACCAGCCCACCCCATCACTAGTGACAGCTTTTATGTTGCTGAACTAGCCAGGCCAAGAGAGAGTCTCCAGAATCAAGGTCTTTAGTGCAGACTGATGTGTAAAACCTTTATGGATGAGAGGTGTTACAGAAATGCTTGCTGCTTAGTTCTGTATTGTGGGTTGTAAGAGAGTAGGATTGCTTTTATGAGAGATTAGTTAGATCTGAAGTATTAAATACCCCTTTGAAAAAGTTAGTTGTGACAGGTGTAGTTACTGTGCTAGCTCTATAGGGAAAAAAGATCAGGTATTGTCCCGTGGAAACAGAGTATAAGATGTAAAAATAGTGTATTTGTGTTCAGTCTGATTTTTGCAGACATAGGTTATAAAATCTCAAGAACAGGTGTATCTAGTGATGTTTTCCATGAACCTGTGAGTGATCTGTAAATAAACAATTCTGAATATTCTTTTTTTACTGAGAATTACTTTTGGGAGAGCAAATTCATGGTGTGGAAACCTGACTTTAACCTATGCCAGAAATACTAGTGATATATTTCTTTTTCCAGAAAAATAAAATTATGTAAGGTTTTAGTTTGTAGAGTTTGTAGAGAGGATTAGCTTATTACTCTTCCCATTTAAAAATTCAGAAGCTTGATTTTTCTTTCATTGCCTATATTATATTTAAAAGAAACATAATAAAGCACTCAAAATTGCAACATAAAACAGGAAGCCTATATTCCACCACATTTTTAATTGTTTAGTAGAACTAATAACTGTGTAATTGAAATCATGCTAATACTCACTTGACCTGCCTCTGCGATTCAATGCAGAGATTTCTGTTTTGGCTTAAACTGCTGGGAAGAAGACTGCATTTTGAGAAATAAAATTGATTTTGTACAGTCTGCTGATGATCAGCAAGGCTTAATGACTGATCACCTCAAGAAACCTCATTACAGTAATTTGGATGGATGAGCAGGAGTGAAAAGCAAAAAGAAGAAAGTATAGTTGCTGCTTGAATGCATCACTTACTGATATTTGACTCTAAAACTACCCAGAGCCAGCACAGGAAAAGGATCAGATATCCTTGCCTTACTTTTCTTGAAACCTCCAAGTTACTTTGGTGTCTTTTGGGAAGAAGATAAGGTTTTTGATTTCATTAGTAGTTACTCTCTAGCAGAACAATGCAGCCATGTAATTTGTAGAGGTGTGATTGTACCTGGTTCATAAATTGTGGGTGATTCCAATCCATTATTGTACTTTTTTTTTTCTTTTTTCATGGCAGTTCAAAGAAGTCCTTGCCTTGAGGCTATGAATTGGATGATTGCTGAAGCGTTTTACCTACGTAGAACCTACTGGTTAGCTCCTTAGCAAAGGTGAGAGTCTTCTGGTCAGCCTGGTTTCAGCTGTGCACATCACAAAACTTCTGTGCAGCTGACACAGTATGGTGTTCATTTAAGAGAGACTCAGGAATAAAGTAGGTGGGAAGCTGCAGAAACCAAAGAGGAATGAAAACGAAAAATAGAAAAACCTTGATAGGTTGAGATCAAGTTTCTGAACACCGCTATTGTACCATCCATCCTAACCGTATGTTCACTTTCAGGGATAGTAGGTGTTCTCCAAATACCGTCCTCTGTGCTTGCTTTCATTTAGGGTGATGCAATAGCACCCTGCAGTTCTTCAAAATAATTTAAAACAGGGGGGGACAGGTAGTTCTAGCTGCCAGTCTCTCCCCTCTATTGTTTGAGTGAATGGCTGTTCTTCCAACAGAACCTAGGCTTTCATTAGGACCTAGCTGGTTTTTCCTCTCCATGAGGAGATGATTATGTAGGCATAAATAACAGCTGTGCAAGGGAAGATTAGGTCTGTGTTGGACTATCACCTCTGTAGTCCATTTTGCATTTTATTTCTTGCTTTAGATTTTTGAAGCAAAACTGTGAAGTTCATATAAAAAGCAAAGGAGGATGTATGCCAAGATAACAAATAGGGTTTTCTCCCCTCTTTTCCAATTTAACATTTATTAAAATATGAATAATTTACTAAACTCACATTCCAAAATATATTCTTTGGTTTTTTTTCTTTTTTTCAGAAGAAAACATAAGGAAATGTGGCCTATGAATTACGAGTTATTTATTTTCTTAACCCCAGATGAATACCTTTGACATAGGTGATAGCAGATCTCATATACTAATGCCTGTAATAACTATATTGGCTGTAGGAGAGCTACTCTGGATATACTGTTTTGACTTGGTTAAAAATTTGGTCCATATTCTGGTAAAAAAAGCTGTTAGTCTTGAGAAAGTAATCTTTTCCCATGCTTGGAATATCCAGGGAATTTTCTCTGCTATTTTTTTTTTAAGTAATACTGTTTTGATGATGCTTCTCCCAATGCATGCATATTGAAGTGCATGCTAGATGAAAATATATAGGCTTAGTGAGATATATGTTTAAAACCTTTAAGGATAACTTCCTAATCTCCATACATCAGGAGATTTCAGGTATTAAATGTTAGATTATATTCTAACAGCATTCAGTGCTTGCTTTTTCATGAGGCTGATGTTCGGGATTTTGCAATCGTAGTTCAGCTAAAACTTTCATTCAAGTTGAATTCAGCACTGCGTTTCCCAGCTAACTGTAGTGAATCAAAACCTGGTGTTTATCCAAAGTCTTCCTGCACTGTTGTTGCTCTTCTACAGCTTAACCAGCAGAGGATATTAAAATCTGAAGTGAACTTTCCCAAGTTCTGTAGGAAGTAGAGGCTGCGCAGCAGAATAAGAATTGAGCTATAGCATTTTGGTAATGCCTGGTCTGCATGCTCAATCTCAGGCTGATGACCAGGTGGCTGTAGAACATGGCATTCACTGAGAAAGCTGCCATTCAGCTTGGTTAAGGATAAAACTATTCCCCCAAATTGGTTATCAATTTTCTAGGTTCCTAGAGCATTTTAGAGTAAAGTAACCTAAGCTTTACTGCCAGCTCTCCTCTGATTTGTTTATAAGTCATTTAAACTCTTGGTGACTTATTTTTTTCATCTGTTATTGGGAATAATATTTGTTTGCTCTTCCTCATGGGACTGTCGTGAAGTTTATTTCATTAGTGTTTATAAAGGACTTGAAGATCCTAGACGCCAGATGCCAAAGAAAAACAAAAGGTTGTTGTTAGCATTTTCTTGATTAAATATATGCATATATTTTTTTTTCTTTGACACTAGCCTTACAAATCACTGCAGTCTTTCATATAATGAAATTTACCTCAAATAATGACTGTAATAACGGAACAATAATGAGGAATAGAAGGCATTGCTTCCCTCTGAAGCCACTGTAATTTGCATAGACCATTCCGAGAGTCTGGTAAATTATATTCTGCTTGGTCAGTCCACAGAGAGGTTAATACTGGTTTGTTTTTTGTAAAACATAAGAAAACTTAAACTTTAGGTCATGTGGGTGTGCATGTGTTTTTATATCTTCAGAACATTAGTCTTCTTTACAAGCTGGCAATCCAACGAAATTAGAGTTTTACATTAGAAATCATGCTTTATTTTCCTGCTGGGCTCTGAACAATTCTTGTTCAATCTTATTTAACTTTAAAATCAGGTTGGCAGCCTTTCCTTAGTGTAGTTGATTTAAGAAAAATTAAGCTTTCATTCCCAAAGCCACTTCTTAATGCTGTGGTAAATCAAGAGAAGAAACACAGGAACTCATGAAAATCAAGCATGCACTTAGTGTATAATGCATTCTTGCATCTTTATCACATTTATGTATGCAAACTGATCATTTACATTTTTTAGTTAAGTTGCCACCATGTGAGACAATGTGCCAGTTATGCGTGTCCACACCCTCATCTGTGTTTTTCTGCTTCTAGTAGTCTGGTCCTATGTGTATAAAAAATCAGCAATATTATTAACTATTTAGCATCACACAGCTGTTAAAATGCATTTACACAGCTCTTATAAGTGAGGGGCAAGATTAACTTCAGCATACTTCACCGAGAGCTGTTTCAGGGCCATTACTTCCCTTAAGAGTCTGGTAAAATGATGAAGGTGGGCTGGAAAGCTGTTGCTGTGTGACTGAAGAGTGGAGCTTTAAAGTCCAGAAAAGGCTCTGTGGGGTTCCTTCAGCTCTCAGCATTTGTTCCCTTCTCAAGAGTGGTCCTTGCCTTCGTACGTGGCTGCCCAGTTCCATCATACCCTCCCCGTCCTGTGTGCTGTCTGAGCATACACACACATGTCATCATGATTTAACATGCCCTCCAAAATCTGGGTTTAGTGGCTTTGATGGTACAGTAAACAGTGCACCTGCAGAATGATGGATTCAGTCCAAGTTTTGAATGTACAGGTGTGCCAGTTGTCAACATGCTAGTGAGTGGTGTCACTGGTTCTGCAAAGAAGGCAGGGGTTGTAGGACTGAGCAACTTAAAATGAGGGGGAATGAACACCACCAAGAGAGGTTGTCACTTCTGTGGCCCATATTACCTGCAGACATAAATTTCCGGCATAGCTGATCACAGTCTCTCCCTTTGTACTTGAAATTACTATGTCCACTTGAATTTTGGGGGAAATGTTGTGTAAGGTCCCACTGACAAGATCAGAACTTCAGAAGGAGAGAAGAAAAATTGGACATTGTAGTGCTCGTCTATGTGAATTAGGGACTTTTCAGTTAATTTGTTTTCTGCCTACAGATACATACAGCTCTTTTCTTTCTATTGCAGAAGCAGCCTACTAAAGCAGATATGCCTGTTTGACCATCAAGGTGTGGATCATGGGACAACAACTGTTAAATGACAGCATCCTTGATCAATTTATTAATAGCCATGAGCAGTCATATGAAGAGTTTCTAAATACATTCACTTATCTTTTGAAAGGTATGTAGCTTCCCAAATGTCCCATTAGAAACTGCAGCCAGAAGGGAAGGTAAAAAGAGAAGCAGTAGTATTTAGTGTTGTTCTGCTACTCACTTGCTTTGTGACTTTAGGCAAGTCCTTGTGATGCTTTTGTTTCTCCTCTCAGCAATGGGATCTCTAAGGACAACTTTCCTTAGCTTGGTTCACAGACTGCTATGGTAGGTCTCTACAGGTGCTTAACCATGTTTTGCTCGCTTTAGGAAGGTGGGGGAACATGCACTATTTGGAAGGATAGGCTTTTCCTAGGCAGGTCCTGCATTGCTTTGCTAGAGGAGTTGCCATAAAAGAAGAAGAGCCTAAGGAAAGTACTTAATAGTACGAGATGGCCTAAGATTTGGGGTGTACACTTTGGATACTTTCACAGATTTACTAACACTAGCTTGCTGCGCTATGCGACGTGTGCGCTGAGCTAACAGATAACTTGGATGAAGGCACTTCAGGACATCAGGTTAGGATGATTAGTCTGAAAAAGTCTCATGCTCTGCTGATGAAGTAAAAGGTGGGGCTTAACCTTGATCTGAGCATTGCTGAATTACAGGCAGTTCAGATCTGGATCCAAATTCTGTAGCTCAGGTTCATTTCTTTTGGCCATGTTAAGTCAGGTGCCATAAAAATAAATGCGAGCTACATATTACTCACAATTCTCTTTACCACAGTTTTGCACTAAAAATGATGTCCTTATATTATTGCAGAAGCCGTGTATTTTTCAATTACAGCACGTGGCATGCTCCATTGATTGGCATTCAGGAGTCTGTCCTGTCCTTGTCCTTCAGGCAGAACTAAGTATCAGTCACAGGCACTGAGCAGAAAACCAGTGGGAGAGTCGAAGCTGCCATAGAAATAATCTTGTGGCAACCTTCTGTCTCTTCTCCCAATAAAAAATAGAAGAGGAAGGAGACACTAGGGGATGAGATAAGAGGATTGAAAATTAGGTTCTGGTCTTCTTTATGTATGATTGATACACTGGGGATAGCTCCTATCTTAGAAGCATGCTGCATATCATGATGCTACTTGCAAAGAGCCTCAGCATGTATTTCAGTCACTTTCATTGTCACTATAGCATCTGCCACTAAAACTGTATAAAAGGTAGAGCTTTAGCTGAATCAAATGCTTAGAAATGCAGTTTCCTATGCTGCTATAAACAAAACAGCTCAGCTTGTTTTCCTCCCACCTTCATTTCCGTTTAAAAATACCCAAAGGTGCTGGTTTGCATTATAAACTAATGACCTGCAAAAATTCCACTTAAAGCACAAGGCATTTTAGCATCAGAACAGTGCAAAATACTTTATAAAATATCACATTCTTAGTTTCTTAATTTTGCATTTGAAAAATAGTCATTTGGCTTTAACTGTTTTTAAAAAATGCAACTGTGATAGCTTAATAAGACTATCTGCTAAGAGGCTTCAGAAATTTTCACTTTTATGTATGAGTTCAGATATTTACTGTGGGGATATATTTGTGATTACTGTCAAGCAAAATCATTTTCAGATTACCTTTCTGAATTTGGCCTGATAATGGTGTTGATCTACACGTTAATGCTCATTAATGTCAGAATTTGCAGTCCTGCTTAATTAGATATGGAGATAGCTAGTTGTATACACAAATAACCAAGCCTATTCAGTTGTGTGTGTAAATATATCAGAGCTCTTTAAAAAAATTCCTTGAAAAACATCACCATCTGATAGATTTTTGACTGTCGTAACATTGGAAACAGAAGACACAGATATAGCTAATTGGATCCCACTGATTTCACAGGGTACCATATTTATATAAGGTGGTTTTCACTTGTTCATGAATTTGTACTAGCTCTCTAGTTGGGATTGCAAGGATATTTTCACCAGGAGTTTCCACATTATTCTTGAAAGCATCTCATAAGAATCTGATTTCATAACTAATGTTTGGTTTTTCTTCATTAGTTAAATTTACACACAGTGAAACTGAAAAGAATATATCTTGAGTACAAAGACCCAAGCATCCTTGATTGTTCTGGCCTATCTAAAAAGAGCCCTTTGAAGCTATAAATGTCAGCATGGAGTAACCCCCTGTGAGCACATTAGGGTCTTCTGCTGACAGCATAGTTCCATTCTTGTAAATATGGGAAACAGTATTAATGAATTTTTGCATTTCTGACTTTCATTGGCTTTTTAAGGGTTGCTAATATCCTAATCAAGAAAATTGCATTTTTAGAACATTGTCTTTTTTGTATCTGAATGTGTGATACTACCTTTGGCTACTCCTGTTCTTCCTTGTGTTATTTGAAAAAAGATATTCTCTTAGCTGAAGTAGAACAAGAGTTGGAGTCATAAAATAAGGTCCTTTTAAATTCTGTGTAATTCATTTAGTGATATGTATGGTTTAAATAGCATGCAGATACATTATAACTTAGTTGGACCATAAAAGTATATCTTTGATACAGGAATTTAATCTTCCTGATTTTAGTATTCCTAAAAACCCAGTAGTTCTGTTTTTCAAAGTGTGCTTGGTGCTGTGACAGAATGAGAGTTCATAGATTAATTGACAAGTAAATCCTATAGTAAGGCTTTTACCTCACTTCTACCAGATCTGATGGGACATGGATGAACATACTTAAATGCCATTTTAAAACTCTGAGCTCAGCATTTAAAGCATATATACTCCAACAGAACATGACCTATATATCTTAAATGCATAATATTTAAAAAGTATGCGAGCACTCCCTCCATAATTGGAAAAATTTTTAACGGTTTTTATTGATTCTGTAATGGATGGACACTTGAGGGCTGGGTTAAGATTCAAGTAAGTCTCTTAGTTTTTCTACTTACAGCATCCCAAGTGTGTTTTTTGTCAAAAGGATAACATTAACAAGATGAATAGATAGGTGAAAGGGCTGGTGAACCCATGGGAATGTAATTTAGTAATTACAGCACGGGTCCAGAAGGATGAAATTTTTCATGCTTGCTGTAAAGCTTTGCACAAGTTTTCAGCATCTGGAAAAAAATGACCACGTCTTGTGCAAATCCAAAGTGAAGATACTGGTAAGAGGAATCCTTTTATTAGCCATTTATTTTAATACTTTTGTTTGTGCTGCTGTTAGAATCAATGAAGCCCCTTATGCTTATGCTAAGTTATGTATTTAGTTTTGTTAGTTTGTTCTTTTAGCTTTGGGTATAAAAACAATCTGATAATAAAACAGCTAACTGGCATTTACTTTGAGGTTGTACAACTCCACTATGTTTTTTAAGTCCAGAGACAAATCTTAAGAGTGATTTCTTGACTGTGCAGTTGAAGAAGCCTCAGAAGAGTTGGATTTACAATGGAATTGATGACACAGATTTCTGTAGTTGTGGTCAATGAGTGGTCTCTTCAGAACTAAACACTTCCTAGAACAACTTTGGTTAAAATCTCATGGAGATAGACCCAATCCCCACTTTTTACAAAATTGCCACACAGGGCAAGAGGCTCTTTCAAATCTTAGGAAGTGTGTTTGAAATCTGGTGTAAAGAACTATGATGTCCAGAGTTAGAAGGCAGCATCTGCTCATTTTTCTAAACTGAGAGGAAGATTGGGAAATTCACTGAAGCATAAAATATCTCCTTTGACCTTCTACAAAAAAATACAGAACCCCCCCCCCCTAATTGTCCAAGCTTCAAATTTTTCATCTAGATTTTAAATTACTTCTCTCCTCCTTCCAAAAATATGAGATCCTGGATCAGTCAGCTGCACAGAAAAATGATGCCATGAATAAAATTCATATCCAAACCCAAGTTTAGATTCATATTTTTAACATGGTCCTGGGCATTTGACCACTGGGATTAAATTCAATCCATTCCTACTGTTAATTTTGCTCTATTTCATATACCTCACACTGCCTGGCAGTGCATTGAAGTCTGAGGACTTTGATGAGATCTATCTCTAAGCAAACTGAACCTTAGATATATACTTCATAGCCTCAGTGCTGTTGTTTTGATGCTTCTGTGCCGAGCAAGCTGTCAAGCGGAGGAAGTTGGAAAGTGGCTGACCACTTCTCTGCTTCCAGGTGGCATGCAAGAGCCATATTCTATGTTGCGATCAGATTAATTTAATTCCCCAGTGAAAGCTGAGCGATGTATTTAGTTCACAGTCCATTTGACGGTAGCTGTCTGCTTCCTTTTTTCGTTAACCACATTTAGGAAAAACAACAACTTTAAACTTCCTATATAAGTGTCGGTGGAGGCACTTCACAAATGTGAGTCTCAACAGCAGAAAGCATAGCAGAAAACTATATAAGAAATGACAGTAAATTCACTTTAATTTTAAAAATGGACCAGTAGGACAATGCTAACCGGAAGAGAAATTTGCAGCCTTCTTCCTATGAGTGGATTTGCCAATAAAAGCAACTAGATGGTTCAATAAAACTAATTAAATTAATCTGTCATCCCCAGGGAACTTAAACAGGGCATGAAATAGGGAAACACTGTCAATTCAGAGCTTTTTATTGATGTGTTGTTCTGGATCATTGGAAAGAATTGGTTGGGAGAAAAAATTTGCAATTTTCTATTGATCATAAATTCAGTAGCTCTCTCTGTGTAACCTTCATTCAATATAGTATAAAATCAAATATCATACAGAGCCCCTGAATGCAGAAAAAAAAAGACATAGGGATGCAAACGTAATAGATTATTTTTGAAGTAATAATAGCTGATTGTTTTATGGATATTTGTTGTCCTTAGAACTCAGTGGTATTTGCTATGCAAAGTACTTCATCTCCATTGTATAGACAGAAAAAATTAGGCTTAAAGAAGGGAAATGACTCTTGTTTGTTTGCACAGTAGCTCACTGGCAGCACCAGATAAGGACAGAGGCACTTGGACTCCTGGAAACTTTGACAGCTCTTGAACAGTAGTGCTTCCCTGATAGCAATTCTTTGTTCTTTGCTGTGATGCCTTTATTACTAAACAATTTCTAGAGATTGTTGCAGATGGAAAAAATATATTTGCATTCAG